TTTTTTCGAATGTTTTGGGTATGAAACGCATGGCAGCAAAATTTGTTCTAAAATTATTAAATTTTGAACAACATTTTTGGCCAAAAACAATACTGTAATGATGCCCCAGCCTTCATATTCGCCAGACAAGCCTCTGTCTGACTTTTTCTTATTCCCAAAAATAAAGAGAACCTTAAAGGGCCGTCGTTTTGCAAGCATAGATGACATTAAAAGCGCATCGCTGAAAGAACTAAAGGCTATCCCAAAGATCGAGTTTTAGAAGTGTTTCGAGTATTGGAAGAAGAGCTGGCACATGTGCATAATATTCAATGGTGACTATTTTAAGGGCTACAACATTAATGTAGACGAATAAATAAATATTTGTTTCAAAAAACGAAAATTCCCGATATTTTCTGAACACACCTCGTAGAACTTTGATAAAAAGGTTTTTCTTCAAAAGCAATGACAAGATTTTTCAAGTTGTGCTGACCTTAAAACTGCAGCGGGAAGAAAACGAAAAAAGTTATGCGAAAAGATACTCTTGGACAACTTCACAACCATCTACTTCTTCTTATGAAAACTCTTATGTCAGATATTGGAATGAAGCTCCACTTAAAATTATAGCTTCCTATAACCATATTTAGCTCTTATTCTGAAAAGTTAACAAAGAAAAAGTTTGGTCGTTCACCTTCTAAACTTTACTTTGTTTCCCTTGACCGATTCAAGGGAACTTTTGACATTTTGAAGAAGATAACATAGACTTGAGTTGTTCTTTTCAAAATTTTGCATTTAAAAAAAATAAAAATGTAACAAATTTAACAATTGAAGAGTTTGGACGAAGTGACATTTTTGAAAATATTGAGACGAAGCAAACAAATTTACAACTTATACTGTAAATTTCATTCGATAAATCATACAACTCAAATAGGGATTCATCCACAGTTCGAATCAAAAGGATAATATGTTATAGTTGGTTAATAGTAATGTTCCAGGAAATAGTATTTACAGCAAATAACAATTCTTATCTTGCATCTGACATATGACAAATATAAGATAAGCATGAAAGAGAAATATAAATTATCGGCCATTCTGCACAGTTGAAGATAAAATTATCTGCTTAGGAAATTAAATACGGTCTGTGAACAGCACTTCACTGCATTGTTGTGCAACTACACTCTTAAAATGAATTAGTCAAAAATGCCCTGTTATTAGGAAATCAGATTTGACTAATTGTCATTGCAAAAAAGCAGTAATAATTAGTCAAATTCTATATATCTTTAGTCAATTAATCAAATTTTACACTGAAAGAAATATATGTTTTTTATAGCAATGTATGTGGTAGTCCATATATGAAACATAAAATATATTTGCCTTAACCATATTATGTTAAAACTAAATATAAAAATTGTTAAGGTAAATATATTTTATGTTTTATATGGACTACCACATACATTGCTAAAAAAACCTATATTTCTTTCAGTGTATATATCTTTCATAATTAAGTAGATATTAGAGCTCATGTTCCAGATTTTAAACCGCAATTAATTATTTTTTACAATGTGTTAAAAGCCTAAAACCTATCCTCCGTGACTGTTACTCTTTCTATGTTAATTTATATATTTTTAAATATAGTAAAAGTATACTAAAAATATCAGTTCAATAAGTAAATTAAACACATCAAATATAAAATATTATTAAAAATTTAAAGAAATAATTTTTATAACCATTTGTGTAGGTGTTACAAAAATTGATTCTATCCTGCGTGAATCTGTTTTATCATCATTTTAAGTATGCACGACATTATAGATGCATGTGATTTCTGAAGGTTAGTTAGAATTTATATGCAGATGAGAGTGTTGCTGTTTTTAAATTCAAAAGTTTAAGTTCATTTATTTGCTATTTAAAAATCTATCCTCTGTGAAGTGTAATATCTCAGTAAGTAGATTTTTTTTATAAATATTTTATATATGTACAATTATATTTTAAAAAAATATTAAGGTGTCAAAAACTTATTTCAAATATACAAAGGGATGTTTAAAAAACATACGAAATCCTAACCTCCGTGAAGCTATCTTCCGTGAAGCTCTAATATTCAAAATGTATGATTTCTTAAAATTCTTGCATTAGTGCAAAACCACTTATGTTATGTTATTACTAGACCTGGTGCTCTCTAAAAATGAAACAATGGATTTTCACTGATTGACAGTGCATATTAACCATTTGCCGCAGTGATAAGTATACCACTAGCAATTAGTGAATACTCACTTTTTCATGTAGCGATTTCAAAATTCAAAACAGTTAAAATTTCACTATTTTATGTCGAGAGTTCCGGAAAAGTAGTGATAATAAAAAACACTAATTTGGAGAAGTTAAAATTTTACTAATTTATATTGAAAAACACTAATTTTACAGTGAATTAATAACTCACTGACGGAAATAGTGAAAATTTCACTGTTTAGAGAGTGGCTTCCCAAAAACCCCATTCTAGACCAACAGTGAAACAACCAAAAATAAAAAATAATTATTTTCACTTGGGGGACATTACATCACATTACTTTCTTTATCAGAACTTTTTCGAAATCATTGAAACGTCTCGATAAGTATTTTTTTATAAATATTTGCGTAATTTCGAAACAATTTAGTTAAAATTATATTGTTTGACGTTCAGTGTAATCTATTAAATTCTTTTGGCCGCATCATCTTGTCAGTGGTGAATTATAAATTCAGTTAACGTTTTGCCATTTACATAGTGCAGAAAATTTATGCAGGCATCCTTATTTTTATTAATTTATAACGGTTAAATGTGCAATCCGTGTAAAATTAGACTGTCTGATCTTTGTGTATCTATGTAATTTTCTAATTATCCTCGAAACACTATTAAATAAGGTTTTTCTCAATGTTTCTGTAGCTCAATTAGTGGCTCGCATTAAATAAGTTGTCTTACATAACTCTGCCAGTTTTTTATGCATGTTTAAGATGTAAGTGTAGTTACTTACAGGTACTTACAGTAAATTACTAATAACAACGTTGGGTACCAGCAAAAACCACACTTACCCATTATGTGTGCAGTTTATGAGAGGAAAATTCATTATAGCCATAGCTGTTCAATGAACAGTCTTCATCATTAGCGGATGAGTATTTAGGAAGCAAATTACAAGTAGATTTTTGCATTCGTGCTCGCAGTTTTTTTCAGTAAAGAGTTAATCCAAATTTGGAAGATTAATAAACATTTTTTAAATGTCATCAATGCAATTCTGCACATCATTGGAAAAAGCTTTTATATTGTGAATGGGTTAACCATTGAGCCAATGGTGTACTGTATTTGCAATACCTGAATTACAGCTATGATCAAATGAGTGATTGTCTTACTTTTATTTGTGCAAACCTGCTTAAAATTAGTTTAAACATAAGAAGTCATTGAATTAAATTGTGATTCTATTAAATCCGTATTCAAACTTAGTTAAAACATAATAAATTATTGAATTACATTTTTATTTAATTGAAGCCACAATGAATTTTGACATAAATTAAAGTTATGGTTTCTAATGAATGGCTACATTAAATGCAATCAAAGCTCTAATTCCTTTAAATATGTATATTCTTGTGCAAATATTAGTTGTATAATTCATTAATATGAACTTTAAATAAAATGCATTCTGGAAACTGCTTCTGGTAGTCTTGTGTACACAGGTTTTTCGATCCATAAAATAAAATTGTTCTGTTTTTTGTAGAAACTATTAGGAACCCACTAGAAGTGTTGGTGATATTAGGCTCTAAGAAAGTTGCTGACCCATCACTAGCAACAGTTACTGTACTATATGTGCAGGATCTGTCTGCCATGAACATGGTTATTCTAAAACGAAATAGGAATTTCATGTTATGTATTTAAAGGCGAATCCTAAAGATTGCTGAAAGTCCTGAAGCAATATGTACATTCAGGACGCCCTGCAAAGATATCATGAAGGTACTGTTTTTTTATAAATAAATAAAAACTTCGTCCATTTAAGAAAAATACCGAATATCAAGATAAACTGTGTCCATGGTATATATAGGCATATAGGTAATGAGTACACATTTACCTTTTTGTTATCATTTAGATATAATTGAGTAGTTAAATTACTGGATAATGCATGGCGGACATACAATTAAAAAACATGTACAACTTACCTTGCAAATTCGGGATAAGGAAGTACAACCCACAGGAAATAAGCAAATATAACAAACAACCAAACACTACCTACACCAGAGATAACCCATAAACTTACATCAAACGGCGTCACCAGAAATACCAATTAATCAGTTTATCACGTTTAACTATATATAGTTAAACGTGATAAACTGCGTATACGCACGTACGGGATTCCAGGTTGCCGATGTGTGGTGTGACAGGGGATGCCCTGGCGCGTTTGTCTAAATTTTAGCAATCGTCAAATTGAATATAGGCCGCATTGAAAAAATGAGAATGATGATTGGGCAAATAATAAGTATTTTTCAAGACAGTGAAAAACATTGGTATTCACTGTAAGACAGTAATAACTTACTTTAATAAAAATCATGAAAATTAAAAGAAACAAAGACTATTCTTATTTCATTTGTTTTTAATTTTTGGTTGAAGCATTATAACTTTTAATATAAATCAATTTTATATTTAATTAAATATTGTTAATTTTACCTTGATCAGATAAACTTTGAATACAATCATTTCTAAAATTTTCAAGAAAGTACACATTTCCATTTGGTTTAAATCTAAAGAGTCATATACTCTATAACAAGTAATTTTAATTTGATAATATTTTTTCATGGGCTGAATGTAATATTTCTAGTAACATCAATCCCTTACCCTCAATTGCTCCAAACATATTTGATTGAATAAACATATCAAAGCTTTTTTCTGTGCACAAGGAGAAGTCTCACAATGCTTCTTGAAGCTTCTTGGATGCAATGTTCATTTCTCGAAAAAAACAGCATCGTTTTAAGTCGAAGTTAGCAAATTCTTGGGTAAAATGAGGCGTAGGTAAAGTAAAAAAAGTTTTCTTGAATATTTTTACTGATATATTTTGATTTGACAAGGAAAGATATGTTTGGGATTTTTTATAAAATATACCATCTATAATTTAAAAACATTTAAACGCTGTCAGCTTTGTTTAGGAATCCAGCAGCCCTATGTTTACACTTAATCAGCTCCCAGGCCGTTTCAACTGGAGTAGCGTACTCCTTAAGGCAATCCAGAGCTCTTTGCAACTGCTCGCCATCGTAGTATTCGTTAAAAGTTGCTTTGAGGCTTTCCACGTTGATGGTGCCGTTCTCGTGCATTACTTTCATAGGGATCGACATGCAATACATGTGCTTTTTGAGCTGTTCATCTTCGACGAATTCGCCCTGAAGAAGTTTCCTCACCAGTTCTTCTTCAGTTTTGGTTTCGTCAGACATTTGGCACTTCTTGTGGGCCAGTTGGAAGGCTTTTCGGTCTCTTTCGGTTGCTTCCGGTTTCAGGACCTAAAAGGAGATCTTTTTGTATTATATAACCTAAAGTTTCAAAATGTAAGGAATTGGATTGTTTAATTCTAAATAAATTTATAAACGAGTTACATACGACTAATACTTATTAGTAGTATGTAGTTATGGAACTAAAAAAATCACCGTAAAACCGAATAATAAATCCGTTTTGCAATCCTAAACAAAATATGCGGTTTTGTACTTTGAAGAAGGTCTTTCACATCGACGAATATCTGATGGATAGTACGGTTACTAGGATCATTCAAAGGCATAATGAGACGAGTTCTGTGGAAAGTAGACATTGAAGTGGTCGTCCAAGGGTTACAACTCAAAGGAAAGACTGATATTTAAGTCAAGTAACCAGGAGAAACAGGACCAGCACGATCAGTAGTACCAGGCTTCATACCACCAACTTATTTCTAATGCCACCACCAGAAGACGCGTCATTGCATCGGGTTTGCTTTGTGGAAGACCTTTACGAGTGCCCAGGTTAATGCCTAGACATACACAGTCGCGGTTAGAATGGGCTCAAGATCACCAGAACTGGATATTGCCTCAATGGTCAAATGTTCTGTTCTCGGATGAAACAAGGAAGTGGTATCATTTGAAGGCAGAAGTGTTATGTTTTGGGGTGGAATCATGTAAGGAAGAAAAACTCAACTGCTTCATGTTCCTGGCACTATGACTGGACAAATGTATATAAATTTAATTATTCGGCATATTATTCAACCAATTCAAGATGAAGTAGGTCCCAATTTCAATTTTTTGAATGACACTGCCCGTCCACATCGAACTAGAGCTATCCTAGAGTTTCTGCGAGAGTTTGAAATTGACAGAATGGATTGGCCACCTCTTTCTCCGGACATGAATCCCATTGAATACGTCTGGGATTATTTATCCAGATTGATTCGTAGCCGTTTGAACCCTCTCATGAATGTTCAAGAGCTTATTGTAGCCGCTGTTGAGGAATGGAATAACTTTTCTTAAGAATACTCAAATAACCTTATACGAGGCAAAATTTTGCATTTTTTCTAGTATCAACAAACTTTTTTATATTATAAAACAGTCAATTACCTAATAGAAAGGGGATAGTAACTTCTAGATGGAATTACAAAGTGGTGCAGAACTTTTAAAACTAAGTGTAATTTAAATATTTATATAAAGCGACATCTATACAAAAATAGAGTAACCATTCGCGTAAGAATGGGAATAACCGGCGGCAAATGTGTAAATCGAAAATTATCCCTTGAAAATTGACTAACAACCATTTAAATCCCATGTAGAAGCAGTTTTTCACAGTGAAAATGACTCCACCCGAAATTTTTAATGCTATATCAGTTGAATCTAGTTTACTTCCGGCCACAGTACAAACGTGCATATAAACTTTTTAAATATTGGCACTATTTAATAAGATAATACCTACAATAATTTTCACATTTAGTAATATTTCACAAGGGCACTTTAGTTTAACGATTGTATGACATTTGACAACTGTCAACTAACTTAAAGCTAACTTCAACCATAGATAATAAATCAACCCGTAAATAAAGCGCCATAATCATAGATTAATAACCATAATAGCTTGTTAATGGGTATTTAAAAGATGTTAAGTTAAGTAAATAGAAGCTATAGAAAAATATAAAAATACATATTTACCTTGCATGACACAACAGCTAAAGCTACAACAAATATCACTAACTTAAACATTTTGCTTGGTTTAACCTAAAAGCCAAGCACTGTTCTTTTATATACCTACCTACTTTTTTTTTATATCAAACCTGTTGGATGGAGTAATTTCAGCATAATTAGGATTAATTTTAATATAAAATTCATTTAATTTACCTAATTAGGAGAAAAAAGATTGTTATTTTAATTAAAATATCCTAAAATCTATAACAATGATTTTATAAGGTTCTATTAATTTTTCCAAGGTAATTTTTTTTAAGTTTCGTGCATATTTTACCATAATTAATAGAGAATTATCTTTTTCCAGACAAACTGGTCCTAATAAACAAATTTACATCGATTTCATTCGGTTTGTCCTTCAAGGTAGCAGAGTTTTTGCGGCTTGTTTAATATAGCAGATATCCCAAAAAATACACTTAGTTAGTTAATTAGTTTTAGACTAAATCAGACCCAGCACCAAGAAGTGTCACATGTGCACACCATGGTCTGTTTTTAAAAATACAAAAGTATACTTACAACCTAACTTAAGTATATGAAATCACTCAGTAATTACGAGAAATATTATTCTACTTAAAAAAAGTGATATGTAAATAAATAGCAGTTTATCTCAACCAATTTTATTACAAAAATAAAGAAAAATTTTATTTTATATAGAACAGATTACAAATGTGAATTTATCTGAGAATAAACAATAAATTATAATTTAGAAAGAAATATTAGGTTTTTGTTAATTTAATATTCAATGTTTCAATGTTATTTATTTCTTTTTGTTGAACTTTTCCCACTCCTCTAAAACTACGTCTACTAGTTGTTTTGCATTGCCGGGTTGCTTTAAGAGGCTCTAATCCTTGTTTTACCTTATTCCTTAAGTTCTTAATTGCATTAAGATCCGGTGAACAAGAAGGCCACTCTAAAACAGTCACACTTTCCATTTCTCAACAGTTTTTAACTACTCTGCTTATCAGCGGTGGTGCATTAACCGGCATAAATTAAAAAAAATCGCAGAACACAGTTAAGGGTTCCAAAAGTGTAGGAATGGCCATTTAAATCGGTATTTAAGGGGTTACATACAGTTAGAATTTTCCGAAACATCGAATTTTTTTTTATTTTTTTTTCTTAATGTACATATATTTAAGAATACACACAGAAAATTTCATATCGTTCCTGTGAATATTTTTAAAGTTACACGCAAATTTGAAAAGGCGTTTCAGAGTGCTTGGAAGTACAAGGCCGGAGAGGCAGCGACTACCCTTTTATGCACCTGCCTTGTAAATGCTCCCTTCTAATGTATTTAGATGTGTAAATCAACAGTGTGAACAGGGTGTATTATATGGGCCTGGAATAAACGACTCCATGTAAGTTAAAAAATAAAAAATTTTATCCCATGTAAACTGCATTCCAAACTTTAAACGCGTTTTTCTCTGAATGGTGTTTTCAAAGTCGGTGACCAACATTACTCGAAAACGGCTAAACCGATTAATCTCAAATTTTAACACGAGCTTCTTAAATATATTTTTTAGTAATTAATCGAAGATTTTTTCTCTCCGATAAATATTTTTGTTTTTATAAACAATTTAAGGCCGAAATTTCGGTGAAAAATCGATTTTTTTTTTTGAGAAACCGCCATTTTGTCAAAAAAATTTATTTTGCTTATTCCTTCGATTAATTACTAGATTAAACATTACTTTAACGAAATCTGTTTGGTTTTTTAAATTCAGATGATCCAGTTCAGAGATATAGTGGTCACCGCAAAACGTCTTTTTTGAGAGGAGCATCCGGAGATCAGCTGTAGCTCTTTTCCAAATAAATATTTTTACTAGTACTAAGTCTTAAAATATAGTTAAAAGATACCATAATATGTGTATAAATTTTTGGATCAATAAATTTAAAAGTTTTCTCAGAAAAAATTCTGAAAAATTCACTTTTTTTCGGCCTTCTAACTGTATATAACCCCTTAAAGCATTTAAAGTGGATAATTAAAGATTAGAGAAATGTCTTATTTTCGTATAAATCCAGAATTGGCCTACACTGAAAAAAGGTGCCTCTAAACTAAAGTGGTCAACTCTCTTGATAAAAAATTATTAGCGGCAAGAAACAATTAATATTTTAGCATAAAAGAGTATTTATTGCTTAAAAAAAAAAGTTCTTAGTGGAAGAAGTATAGTTCTCTTGAAAACAAATACAAAATCTCCTGAATGTTTCTTCTTTCAACCAAGTGCAAAGTGTTTTTGTTCAAAAACAATGAAAATTATTTATATTTACTCAATTCTTTCAAGATACATCTCAATTACCCCAATAGCATGTCAATTTTACAACAAAATCTGGTAGCCTTTGATGCACACTCTTAGAAAAGACCTGGTACACTCTTAGAAAAGACCTGGTATTTGTAACTAACTTATTATCGTTGGGGTAAAACTGTTGCAGAAAATAAAATTTTTAGTTTTTTGTAATCAGTACCTTTATATGTGTAACTGCTTGCATCATTACCTGAAAAGATTTAGTTTTGTTGTTGAGTATTATTTACTGCAAAAAGGCGCTTAAGTTATTTTAACTAAAACTTTGTGTTGGCTAGAAGTATTGACAACATTATCTCAAAAAAATCATTTCGGCAATAAAATGTTTTTGTTGGGCCAAATATTTAAGTAACATTCTCAACTAATTGAAATTAGTCCGTGGAACTAACGGTTCGGTTGTATAAACTATGCGTCACTTTTCACACAGCTAAGACACCAGCGGTGTGAACCAAAGTGTCAGTTGGGGATGTTGTCTCTGTAGGTTAATGCAACTGCAAACTTTGTGCATTTCGCGCGCGATTTGTCCAGCCCGGCGCGTGCTTTACTTCGGTGGTGTTTGTTCTTTTGTATTTCTGTATCAGCTCGTGTGTAGTGTATATTTTAGGTAAATTCAGTGGCGACATACTTTTTAACTATTCATATATATAAGAATATATTCTTATGTGTTGGTTACTTATAGATATCTCGAACAAATAATATGGATGAGCGGACTGAAGTAGCATATTTATTAGGAACATGGGATTTACCTGAATTGGTTGCAGTTTTTAAAGGTTAGGTATTATTATTGCACTCCTTTAATTAATTGTAGTTTTGGGGTCCGAAAAAAAATCAAAAAACGTGAAAATGCCATTCCGACTGAAAATGGCCTCCTGAATCCAATGGTGCCCACCAAAAGTCTCCATCACGTCGGAATTTCGAGAATTTTTTTGTTTTGTTTTGTTACAGCTCAAGTCGCATTTTTGGTATAGGGCCTATACTATAGGCACTCACACTCAAAATTTATCGAATGACCCCTGTTATCATGCAAGTATGTTACGTTGTACCTAAGAATCATTGTTAAGTTGTTAAACAAAGGCTTGCACTTCACGTAAACATCACGGTTTACTGAAGAAGTATAGTCAACTTTCATCTTAATGTACCTATCTGTGTATATTTACCAAAGAATCGTTTTAGTTTTATTGTTAAAATATTTATAAATGTTTTCTTAGAGTAATTATTAATTTTTGTTATAATGTTTAAACCAAAATTTGGTGTTTTCAGTTATATTGTTATTTTTTAATTTATAATAAATATTTATAAAACGAACGGGCATGAATTTCCTTTCTCTATTTTTTATAATATTTACACAAAAAGTGTTATATTTACTAAGCAGGTATGTACTGTGGAATAATACCAATTTGTTGTTGCTTATTATTAAATATAACTTAGTTACAGTACAAAACAAATTTATATTATATCAACTATTAAATTCTTTAAATGTACCTTTTTTCATGTAATTTCAATTAAAAAATAAATTCCTGCATGATACAATGTTTGTTGCGATAAATAGCAAGTGCAGTTGTTACAACTTAGACGCTGCTAAAATGACAGACTAATGTGATTGCATTAAATATCAATTATTTGTATGAAAAAAAAACTAATTTCGATGCACTTAAACTTGTTGGTTGGAGCTACCAATATTGGCTGTTCCGACAACAAACTGTAAAAACAAATTTGTATTAGTTCCCACAACATATTTTTTTGTTGTGCCTATTTTCACTAATAAAATTGGTTATGGGAACTAAATTTTTATTGCAAATACCAGGTCTTTTCTAAGAGTGTATTTGCAATGAAAATTTAGTTCCCAGAACCAATTTTATTAGTGAAAATAGGCACAACAAAAAAATATGTTGTGGGAACTAATACAAATTTGTTTTTACAGTTTGTTGTCGGAACAGCCAATATTGGTAGCTCCAACCAACAAGTTTAAGTGCATCGAAATTAGTTTTTTTTTCATACAAATAGTTGATATTTAATGCAATCACATTAGTCTGTCATTTTAGCAGCGTCTAATTTGTAACAACTGCACTTGCTATTTATCGCAACAAACATTGTATCATGCAGGAATTTATTTTTTAATTGAAATTACATGAAAAAAGGTACATTTAAAGAATTTAAAAGTTGATATAATATAAATTTGTTTTGTACTGTAACTAATTTATATTTAATATTAAATGCTTGCATTAGTAGCAAGTTGCTACTAGCAACAACAAATTGGTATTATTCCACAGTACATACCTGCTTAATAAATATAACACTTTTTGTGTAAATATTATAAAAAATAGAGAAAGGAAATTCATGCCCGTTTGTTTTATAAATATTTATTATAAATTAAAAAATAACAATTTAACTGAAAACACCAAATTTTGGTTTAAACATTATAAATTAATAATTACTCTTAAGAAAACATTTATAAATATTTTAACAATAAAACAAAAACGATTCTTTGGTAAATATACACAGATAGGTACATTAAGATGAAAGTTGACTATACTTCTTCAGTAAACCGTGATGTTTACGTGAAGTGCAAGCCTTTGTTTAACAACTTAACAATGATTCTTAGGTACAACGTAACATACTTGCATGATAACAGGGGTAAGCATTCGATAAATTTTGAGTGTGAGTGCCTATAGTATAGGCCCTATACCAAAAATGCGACTTGAGCTGTAACAAAACAAAACAAAAAAATTCTCGAAATTC